GTTTGGTTTGGCCGACAATTGACGATAGTATGAGTTCGGCGGCCGCTTTCGGGGCGACTGTCGACACGTTCACGAATGATGTGTCAAACGGATCGTCCAAATAGTCCTCCTCTTCGAAGAGCACGGGTTGATAGGCGACGGGTATTACTTCCGGTTCCTTATTGAACCCAAAGTCGTCTAATAGTTGGGACGACTCCAAGTGTATGGTCTCCGGGACGGCCTCTTCGGCCACTTTCTTCAGCGATTCTTCGGTTATCTGTTGAGGAGTTTTCGATGGCTTTGTTTCCCTGTCTTCGGTGTCTATACGAGTAGTGAAAATGAAAGAGAATTCATATATTTTAGTAAAGGTTTGTATTTTTGATATTAAATTTTTTAAACAAAATTTTATTGACACTTTTTTATATGCATTTTTAAATATTTAGTATATACTGTATTTGACATTTACGATATTTGTTTGTCGCTCTTTATGTCATTAATTCAAATTTTAAATACTATGGTATTTTATATTACAAAAGATTACAGTATATTAAATATATTCTATAAATATTCTTTAACATGAAAACCCAATTAATATTAGTAAATATTCTTTATATTTAAATATCAAGTACATTAAGTATTTTAGTGTATATAATACTAATATATTAGGTTAATAATCACGTTAAAAATCGTGTTTAATATTACTAATAAAATCAAACTAAATATAAATTCATTACGTTATATGATAAGACCGGACAATTTCATGAACTAGGATGAACAGTAAATAAATTTTAAAATTTAATATATTACCACGTAAATAAAATTATATTAACGCCGAATCCAACCAAACACTTCTGTGATATATTTATATAAATAAATAAATAACTGAAATTATATTTTATTTTCCAAATGTTATGTGTTATCAAACTATAATAACGTTATACCTAAAACATACTGTATGTGTGAATATACTGTGAAAGTATAGTTAAGTTATAGCTAGGGATAGGCGACACGAAAGTACTTTTCTCTGTAATAATTAGCCTAAAATTATAATATTTTCCCAAAGCGTTTGCAGTAATGATTTAATGTATACTATATAAACACAATCACATTTAGATCTCTGACTACAAAACAACTATTTTTCATTACTTATTCAAAACAAAAACATTTGGTATTTTAAAAATTTCATTAAATATTTAAAATTACATTATTGAATATGTTTTAATACTAGCCCTCTCTCTCTCTCTCTCTCTCTCTCTCTCTCTCTTATATTACATAATAAATTTATAGTATAAAGTATTAATAAATTAATATTAAAATAAATATTTTTAGTATAAAATATTTTATTTTTATGCCATAAGCAACTCTTAATGAAATATACTGTAGTCTTAATCAATGATAATCTCAAAGTAATGTGATGTTTGATATTTATAATAATACAGTAATTAAAAAAGTATTGATTTTCATTTGTATATTTTCAAAAGGGTATTATGCAAAATTTGGTTTAAGGCATTAATAATAGACATAGTCAAATATATCAAAATCATATTTAACGCCAACACAATTACCCTTTTAAAATCCACTTTTATTTGTTTTTCATATGAACTTATAAAATAATAATATAAGTATTATATAAGTTTTATATTTTAATATAAACATCACTTGTGTTTCATATAATTGAAAAGCACTTTAAGTGTAAAATATATAATGAATTAAATGTTTGATATATTATAACAACACGTGTTTCATAAAGAAAGTCAATTTCATAAACAAAAGAATTTTCTGAATTCAATGTTTAATCGTAGCGTTAAATCAATTATTTATTGCCTGATAAACGTCTAACACTTTCATAACAAAAAACAACGATATAATTAATAACATAATAGAAGTTTCATATTTTAATAAACTGTAAATTTATGTCAATCATGTTCATTTAACATGTTAGACTCAAATAATATTACACAGCAAAATAAGCACTAGTTTTATTAGCACCAGTATAGCATTGGCTGTACTTGTTCACTTGTTTTCATTAGTACAGCCAATACTATACGAGGGCTAATAAAACTAGTGCTTATTAAACTCATAAACTGTTACACGTGTGGTTTAGTTATAAATTTGTCTCAAGTGATAAAATTATCATAATTTTTCACTGGTTTTAACGGAAATATTAATTATAAAGATAAAATAAAATAAAATAATGTGTATTTATTTAAAAAATAAAATTTTGAACAAATGTAGTACTATTTAAATATTATATACAAAATCATAAAATATAGCAAAATCTAAATTGTTGTCCTACGTTACACACAATTTAATTATGTTTATATTGAATAGATTGCAATGAATAAAACAAATATTGTCAAATCAAATAACTAGATCATACGCTACTTGAATTGACCAATATTAAATTGGCAAACAGTTATTACCTGCATATATAGACCAAATGTATCGTATAATACAACTATCAAATAAATTAAATCTAGCTCATTTCGCATATAATTGACCGCAACTCACAATAAACAAATAAAATAGTAAATACAAGCAAAAAACATGTATTAATACCAAGATTATTGCCAAGTGGTTGGGGTGGCTGACCGTCTTCGGTGAAGGCAACCCAACTGCCGGCGCTTTTCACAACAACAATATCGGGTTCGGGCACGTAATCCAAACCCTCGTCCACTTGGTTGACAATGTCATCGACAGCCGACGTGTCTTTCAGTTTCTCTAAAGCACTTTGAGTTTTATTAGTGATGTCTTCGACTTTTGCGGTCAAATTCAAGAAGAACTTCCAGTCCTCGCGATTCTGTTTATCCTTTTCCTGTGCGGCGATCAAAGCCTTCTCTTCCTGTCGTCTAATGAACTCCTTTTCCTTCAGTTGTTTGAAGAGCTCTTCGGAACTGATGGGCGGTTCGTCGGTCACTGCGGGCGCCGGCAGTGGTTGCGACGGATCGCCATTGGATTGTGTGATAACACTGGAGCCTAATGTGGTTGACAGAGGCGGTGGTGGCAGAGGTGGCGGCACCTGACCAGCGACTAGAGTTGATGGATGCGGCGGTACGGGTGGTATGTAATTGTCGTAATCGTCATCGTCTTCATGCTTTGGCTTTTGGCTTAGTTTTAATTTTTTCTTCAAGTAATTCATCGCATAATGAATGGAAATGTCTATAAAATCGATATAATAGTTGTGTTGAGATTAAATGATTGTTTGTTTTATTAACAATAAGATTGCATTAATAGTATTGAAGTACAATTAGTAATATTATTTGTAATATTAATATTAAATTATTTTATATAAATTAATATATTTTAGTTTTATATTGTATTTAATTTGTGCTAAAAATAAAATATTATATAAAAATTAAGAATAAACTAATTATAGAAAATTTATAATGCAATATTTACTTTAAACTATTTTTATAAATTTAATTAAAATAATTACTGCGAGATTAAAACAGTTGCAAAATTAAGAATAAATCTTAACAAATAAAAATTTATAATAATTATATTTAATAATTATTCTATTTTTATATAATTATGATATAAATAAATAAATAAAATTTATAGTAATAATTAGGTGCTAATAACTGACTTTTATGTATAGTGTACTCATTTATTAATAAAGCAAATAATGAAGACTTTCACATTTAAAATATCAATAATTGTCGCAAAATCTACTCTAATAATAGTCACAAAACTAATAGAGAAACTATGTATTTAAGCACAGAATTTGTGGCCAATTTATTAATTATTATATCATATATTAAAATATTATATTATTAATTCTTTAAATTTATTTAAAGCATTATTTATAACACGAATTCAATGAAAGAGTTGTCGTTTCATTGCACTTAATATTCAGGTATTTCGCAAACACACAAAATACATGGACTTTTTTGCAACACATATACATTGGTTATACACAGAATATTTATCACGTATATATAACGCTAGAGTCGAGCATTTATCTCGTTATATTTGTGTTGGAGAGCACTGGTAGTCAATACTACTACAGCATTACACAATTCCTGTGCCGACATTTTCCACATACAATACAACGCGATTCCGCGCCTAACTTACATAAAACTTACGTAAAATAAAAATGCCGTTTAGTATATAGTGTACAGTGTATTGGGAAAAATGGCATCTAAAACAGTATATTCAGTCGATAATCTGGTGGTCGTCAGTGCTATGTATGTATGTATGAGTGCTGTGAGCGCCCGGCGATTGTGCGCCGACTTATACACCACAGTATGTCAGTGAAGGAATGGGGGGATCGACTGTCCGATCGATACTCGCCTACTATTGAGATATATCCACACAAAAGCCCATATATTATGTGTTTGACAGACAATACACGATACAGTACCCCATATACCGTGTTTATCACTTTGATCTTTGTTTTGAAATGACGTGGGTAAGGGGTGTGGGGGCGTCTGTCGGTAATTAACCAAGGGTTTTTGTGAGATGTTAGCTTAACTTAGTATTTATAATATTATCAAGATGCTCTGTTGTTTATTAAATTGCTTGTAGAAGCTCTAGAATTTCAGTTAATAAAAATATAATATTTAACGATAGAATTAATTTACTAGTTATAAATATATTTTATTTACAAACTTAATTACCCGATTATAAATAAACCTTATTGCTATTGATATAATATTACTTAATTACAATTATTTACAGTTTACCGTAGTATAAATAATTGGGATTAATATAAAAAGCTACGGCATGTAATGATAACATGTTGTGCAATTAAATAGTGTGCCGACACTAATACAGCACAGTTACCGCAATGAGTACTAAATTATTGATTCACATAGAGAGATTCACAACAATATTAGTTACACTCTTTGTATTGTTTTACCATAACGTTATTTACATTGAATATATTGTAATACTTAAGTATACTGTGTCTTTAAAGTGGGTAAAGTTGGCATTGATGTTTCTCAATTATTATTTTACTATATAATGTAAATTTATAAATTAATAATTATAATAATTGATTTAAATATTTGAATTATATAATTGGTATTTAAATTTTTAGTGATTTGAATTTTGTAAACTCTTATTTTTGAAAACAATTATAACTTTTAACACATTGTATAAAAACTTGATTTTAAATTAGCATTTGAAGTACAAAATCATGATTGAAATATTAGTGTGGTAATTTATCAATTATATAATTATATGATGATTCAAAACATCTTGTTTTGTGATTAGACCTGATTATATAATTTCAATATAAGTTTTATTTGTATAAAAACTTTAAGATGCTAAAAAACGAGGTTCTTTATACCTTTATTTACACTAATGTATTAGTAATTTTATATGTTGTATAAAATGATTAGCAAATAGACGTTAAATGTATTAATAGATAGATATTTGAGATGTAATACATTAATGAGATGTACATTAATGAGTAACTTATCAATAACTTATAAATTAAATAGCCCATGTAAAGAATTTATGTATTGAATTATATAACATATTAAATAATTAATGCCTAATTTACATAATACACGTGAAAATAAACTGTGAATGATGTTTGAGTTAGATGTTATTTATTTAATTTATAACTATTAAAATAAAATAAAAGTTCATTTTATATTTTACAGTTATTTTATGTTTTAAGTTCACGTTTAATGTTATTATCAATTATTTTTAATATAATAAGTGATAATTTGATTGATACAAAACATATTAATTTTCATTTCAATTACAAATAATTGTTAAATATTTTTTATTTTATCTGTAAAAATTACAATAAAATATATATTAAATGATTTCCCAGTTGTTTAGTAAATAGTGATATTAATTAAAATAGTTGTAAAATGTGTACAAAAATTATAAAACAAAACAAAACATTTCTACAAATTATTCAATCAAATGGTCATTTGATTTTCGTATATAAAGGCAAACATTTGCAATCAGTTTTCACATTCACATCAAGTCTTTCATTGAAAAACTCATTGAAATATAATTTCTATCGTATTTCTCAAAAGAGAAATATTATAAAGTTTTTTAAAACTAATATATTTAAAAATTATAATTTGTTTTCAAACTTGTTGTTAATTTCTATACCAAAACCTCAAACATGTTTAAAGTATTTATTATAAAAAAATGTTCATTTAAAATATAATTTATTAAATGTTATATATTATAATCAGATTCAAGTCTTATTACTCACCGCCGCTATAAGTGTATCCCATTGTCAATACGGAGGCGGCGGTGGCGGCTATGGTGGTGGCGGAGGGGCCAGAAGTACAGGCGGTGGCGGCGGCTATGGAGGCGGCGGAAGAAGTATGGGAGGAGGCGGTGGAGGATATGGCGGATCCGCGGGTTTTGGCGGTGGAGTGTCAGGAGGTATTGGCGGCGGAGTGTCCGGAGGTTTTGGTGGTTTCGGCGGCGGAGGGTTTGGCCGAAACGGTGGCGGCGGAGGAGGCGGCGGGGGTGGCGCTGCTGTTCAGGCGGCCATCATATCGAGACATTCGGTAGACTTCCGTGACGTTGCGTCCACGGGATCGGTAGAGCCCGTGACCGTAGAGGTGGGCGCGTCGCCCATACCGTTGAACTTTGTGTTCCGGTCGGCGTCCAGTAATCTGAACGTACAACAGGCCCACGAGGGCGGCGGCGGCGGAACACAACAGTCCCAATCGCAGGACGAACCGCACACTCTCTTTCATTCGGTCACCAAACCTATTATACAGGAAGTGCGCGAAGTTATCTCACCCTTTAGGCGCATTGTCCAGGAGATTAATCCCGTCCAGGAAGACATCCAGACCATTGTGGCCCGCGGGACGGGCGGCGGCGGCGGTGGTGGTGCTGGTGCTGGAGGTGGGTTTGGTGCCGGTGCGGGCTTTGGTGGTGGCGCTAGTTTTGGTGGTGGCGCTGGATTCGGTGGCGGTGCCCGTGCCGGTAGTGCTGGTGGCTATGGTGGCGGTGCCCGCGCAGGTGGTGCGGGTGGTTATGGTGGCGGCGCCTCGAGCTTTGGTGGTGGGGCTCGAGTGGGAGGCGGTGGCGGAACCAAAGCTTATTAAACCCCGTAATAGGTTTTTGTCGCACAAATGGATAACGAATCGTATTTTTGAATTAAATTAATTTCATAGAAATTTATAAATTTAGTGTAATTAGAAATTTTTGTTATAAAATTATTATTTTATATTTTAATCTTTGCATTTAATATCATCTTTAAATTTGTAATATGTATTATAATAATATTCTAAATAAAAATTTGCTATTATTTTTGAAGTAATCTGTGGCTTTTAATTATTTTTTTAGGGGTACAAATTAGGGTGACCAACCGTCCCGGTTTGGCCGGGACAATCCCTGTTTTGACCATTTTGTCCCGGCGGGGTTTTCACAGATACCATTGAGCGTCCCGGGAAAAATTCGATTTAACTAAAAAATATCTGGGCAAATTACGAAAAGTCCTGTAATGTCCCGGAACTTTCTATAATTTTTATAAAATGTCCCGGTTTTGAAAATTTTGAGTTGGTCACCCTAGTACAAATCATAATATACCGGTAATTTATTCAAAAAATATTTAATGTTAATTTTATTTGCTTAAAAGGCTCGTAATTTTATGTACCAATAGTAATAAAATATTTAGCATTTAACATAAACGAAAATACCCTGATAAATTGTAATATACTGTATAAAGCAATTGCATAAAACTGTAAACATTTGAACAAGATCTATTATAACTATGTCACAATTGCATAACATGTTTGTCAAAAAATATGTTTACCTGGAAATAACTGTAACTTTTAATTACAATATCTCGTGTCTAACATTCACATCACAAACACTGATATAATGAGCGATTGTTATATAAAATTATTACAATTGGTAACAAATTAATCAATTCGCAAAATTATTTACACAAACTATTAACTGTTGGTCGACTGTGATTTAGGGTATATGTATCAAACTGTCGTTCAGTTAAACTTAACTTTTTAATTAGAAATGTAAATCATACATACATTGTATATTAATGTAACAAGTACTGTAGCATTAAATAAAAGTTGTTATTCCATTTAAAATTAATGTGAAATGAAGAAAATTTATGTAATATTTACGTAAATCTGAATGACTTAATTACATTAATAGTAACCTTGACTAATCAATTAAACTGCAATTAGCCAAGCTAAGTAATCAAATTAATCGTTCACTATTTGCGAGTACATGGAGTTTACGTAATTGTAAAAATAAACATAATTTGAGTATTTAAAGTGGAATTATGTAAAAATACATTTCTTTTACCATCATTATTGAATTATAACCATGCTCATTCATATCATAACTACATTATTATATCTATGGGTAAAATGTGGTTCGGGACAGAAGCAAGTGTTCATGCATATGATGCCCTGGTGGGCGACCAAGACCAATAACAACGGTGTTTGGGGCTCTCACTATACGATGGCCAACCAGAACCCGGACACTATTACAAACGGCAGGCGCCAAATCGCCGCTTACTACTACCCCCTAATCGATGTGTACGACTCAAACGACCCGGACGTTATCGACTGGCAGTTGGGACTAATGAAACTGTCGGGCATTAACGGTGTTTTGGTCGACTGGTACGGCACGTCCAGTGCCAACGATTTC